AAAAACGTGTTAACGAATCAAGTTGGCTGCTCCAACTATTTCGCCTTTTCTAATTATAGAGGTTTCGTTCTCTGTTGAGTTAACGCAATATTCCAATTCCAGTAACCATCTCGTTTCGGGAAATATAACACGACGGCTACAGTGCGTAGTAACATTTGCTGAATCTGGAATCACTTCGTTTAGAAGACGTTTTGCTTTTTCGACCAACACGTAGACAAATTTCAAGCGATCTATTGAAACCGTCATTTCTTTTGCCTTGCAGATGATGACAATATTTTTGTGGTTTCGACTCATTAGCAAGAAGGGTCCTTTATTTGAAAACGACAAAATTATTTCGGAGGAAAAATTTTTTGCTTTTTGGCTGAGTGCCATACCACATCAATGGGTCTCATTTGTTGCACTCTGGTTCTAGTTTGTCGTAAAAAAATCTAAAAATTTTCGGCGTCGTGCCTTAGGAATTCATTAGCCAGAATGCCTCGTTATCGCGTTTCCATGCAGTTCTAGTAGAAAAGCCGGCAGGTAGACTGCTCGGTTTTTTTTCGCTGTGGTACGGCAAACTTACTTGTTATTTAAGCCATATACGATAACGTGATAATATACATGATAAAAAACTTAGGATATCCATACAAAACGAAATAGGAATCTTAGAAGTTCACTTTCATTTCTAAGTTTTCCTCAAGCTTGTCAAAATTTAAAGAAGTTATATTTTTGTGGAAAGCTCTTTAATATCAAGTCTCTTTTAACTGAGGGCTTAAAAGCTTTAATCGATTCACTAGGGTTTGGTAGAAAAGTAAATATGTTCGTTGTTAGCTTCTGAAAATGGCAAAGATACTTCAAATTAAAATGCTCGGCACGATTGCTTACTGTTCTGAAGCGAATGTATTTGCTGTCTGATATACAAGTAGCCAAAGGGTGATAAGCTTTTGCCCGTACAAGGAATTTATACGAGAAAATCAACATTCACCTATAATTATGCTTATGAGGATATTGACATTTCTAGGCAGAGCAAGTACAAGAGAATTGAATTGAATTGACCAATGCTTATTAACGACTGGACACTTGCTATACAATCATTAAACTCAACTTATTTTAGAGCGAAACTTATTTGAAAATTTAAAATGAAATTAAAGAAAAAATCGGTTAAATTAATATAAAAATTCATTTTTAAAATTAATTAAAGTCAACCATCGTTACACATACATTTCTTATATTCATACATTTTTCTAAAATTTTTTCTTGCAATTTGTTCAAGTTCAAGGCACATAAACACTAACTAAGGACATTTAATTAATTTGGGAGTTTTCTTCACATATTGGGTTGATAATATGAGTAATATTATCTCAATGGCAACAGAGTTGGGAGTCATCGGCAGAGTATATTGGAGTTTACAAAATTTGTTTTAATTTCTTTCTTTCTGATAACTTTGTTTTCTCTCAAAAATGACAATCAGCACAAGTCAAACAATTTTCATAATTTTTATTCAAAGTGTTTGCGATATCTTTAAAATAGCACTCTGTAGTGAATCACGTAAAAAGTTTTCGATATGTTAATTTAGACATTATTTATTCAAAGTTTATTGTCTTCTCTTGGTCGAAAATTGCATTCCTTCACTCAAACGCCCGGCAATAATACAAAAATCAGTACTTTTAAATTGCATTTGCTACTCTCACTTTATTATATTTTTATTTTTTTACATTGAACTATGAACAACTTACTCGGGAGGATGGCTCCAGCGCTCTCATTTTTTTCAAAAATAATTTATTTTTTAACTACTTTGATATCTGACCAGCAACTGAATATTGTTAACGTTTTAATTTTCTTTCAATTCCAAAATATATTTTTTAGTTTGCTAGAGTAGTTTTATACTTACTTAAAAGTCATAAGCTTAATACCCGCGAGTGCACGGTAACATCGTAAAGGTTTCTTTTCCAAGTTTTGTATTAAATGAAAAAAGTGAAATTTGGGTAAAATATGTTTATGGCTGATTTTGCCAAAAAAATACAAGAGATTTATAAAATACATAAACTTTGTTCCGAACATATAGATGCTTACAAGTACACAAGTAGCTAATTGAATTTTAATTTTTATAACTTGTAACTTGTATTACTTGCAGATTACTTTAGAGTAATGTTTTTTGCTGGTCCCTCCCATTTAAAAGAACCTGAATAAAAGTAATTTGAAAGAAAAAGCTCGTTAACTTGTCGATCACATTTTCTTTTACAACTATATGTGTGCGCACAAATTTTTAGTTAAGAAAAAAAAATTATTGTTTGAAATAGTGTCAAAGCCAAAGATTTCTGTTGTCTCAGGCTCAAACTGCTTATCGCAAAATTCAAAATCACTTATAAGACATCCTTAGGCAATATAAGCAAGCATTAAATGAATTTAAGAGATACTTTTACGTTGCGATCAATCAATTTTCAAAACGCAAAGTTAAGCGCCTTTGCTTTCTATAGCGAAGACGAACAAAGTATTTTATTTTTACATTCATCACCGAATTAAAGAGATGAGTAATTCTTTTTGTATTGTTTGCAGATAAATGAACGCTTCATTTTCTCACAGAAGTTTTTTTTTGTTTTTATAAAATAGATAAGGTAGAGAAAGTTGTATTTGTGAGATTTTAGATATATTTAGTAAACATAATAGCCGGAATTTTTTGTAATTTATGATGTTGGCGAAATTGTGTTGAGCTACGAAGCGAAATTTGAGCGCAGTCTCTCAATTAGTGCGTTCAGAGATGCTATTATTCTTAAAAGCAAACTATTTAAATTTATCAAGCTGGTGCTCGAAAATTAACGTATAACTCTTAAGCTCTTGACTCAAGACATTAATGCATATGTCAATTTTAATGATGATGGTTATGGCGTCACAGTAATTTATCATTGCACAAAGCCGTCATTTTTTGCAGAATTTTAATCACAAACTCAAAAATTATATTCAAACTGTTCTCAGCCAAAATGAGTAGAATATATTTTTCCGGTAATGAATTTTTCCACATGCTCTATAAAATCTAAAAAATATAACAAGTTGATAAAAGAAATTGTTTTTTCCCAAAAATTTAACAATAGGTATATGGGGGAACAAGCGCACGGGTGAAAGAACAACGTAGCTTACATATGACTTTGTACGCTTCTCAATATATGCGTGTTAGGGTTGCAATTGGAATGCAAAAATTACGGTACGTCTGAGCAATGTTTTCCGCCAATTGTAGGCGATGCACTCTATTGTAATTGAGAACTAGAATTATGTTAAAGCGAACGAAGTCTTTTATGGTTTAATTTAAAGAATTTGGTAGAAAGCTTGTAATCATTATTTAAACGCATTTCTGAACAGTCTTTAAATGCTGTTTATGATTGTGATTTGTTCGAGTACTTGAAGTATTCGTAGAAATTCATTGCAATTCAAATGGGTATGTAAAAGCCTCGTTAATGTTAATTTAACCGGAGCGTATAAATTTAGAATACTTTTTGATATTAAACTTCCTTTTTTTCGTAATTTTGGCTTTTTTCTTTTATTTCGCTAAATTCGAGTATTCATTATAAACTTTTGAAAATGATTTTTTCTTATTTCATGCTTGAACAAAAAAATTCTTTTAAAAAAATATATTTCATCACCCCATAAAAAGTAAACTGAAAAATAAATAAAAAGATTTTATATTTTATATAAATTGAAAAACTTTTCTTTTTTTCACATTTCTTTTAACAAGTGATGGAAAATGTCATCATCTTAGACAGTGAGAGAAAGAAAAAAGAGAACAAGCAAAACTCTTTCAAGGGTGTCTTGTAACGAATATCAGATATCCATTAACTCCAAAAAAAAAAAAAAAAACCAAGAATTACGTAACAAGAGGTCAAAACTTTGTTTGGCAATAGCAGCCGTTGTACATGTAAACTTTTTGGTTTTCTAGCGCGATCTGGTCCTGTTACGCATGCGTTTACGGTTAAATCACGCCCATACCCTAGGAAGTCAAATTATTGGTAAAATATTACGGTCTTGACTTAATTCTGGCAAGATGCGGACAAACGGACAGAATTTTAAGCTAATCAAGAATGTACATGCATGTATTTGTATTATGATGTCTTTGGCACGCAAATCTGAGTGGCAGAAAATGTATGACGAGCCTAGCATATTCTATTTTTGTTTGTAGAACAGAAAAACAATCTCATGTATGTACATATGTATATGAATTGAAATTTATTTCAGCTGAAGCTGACTTTCCGTCTTTTCGTTTCCATCGTATTTTCTGTTTTCTTATTTTTTGATAATTTATAATATTTATATGGAACTTTAAACTGATCCTAAACTATACACATACATTCTATCCGCAGAGACATATAAGTATGCAAGGATGTCTGTATTGTGGCATGAATAGTAAAGTTTTTTAGAAGTTTGCTCTTTTCAGTTTCTTTTTTTTCGTTTTGTTTTGTTTTCTTTACTAATCTTTCATAAGAAAATTGATGACTTGAAACAGGTAACACAAAACTTTTAACCCTAACCGAACATTTATAAGTAACTATGTGGAGGAGTTTATTATAGGTATTGCGAAAAGAGCAAAGATGGCAAAGCCACCAAGTATTTAAGATATAGAATAACATATTTGTCATTTTTGTTTTGATGACAAAGCAGAAAAAATAAAAATAAAATGAAAGCTATATAAAGAGCAAGAGGGTAATCTACAAATAGATGTATATTTATATGTATCTATGTGTTCACATACATACCTACGTTTGACTTAGAGAGACTCTACGTGACATTACAAAATTTCTATATGAAATATTATACGCTACCGTTCAAGTTCAGACAAGCATAAAAACACCAAAAAACTTTCATTAACACCATCATAAAAAATAGCGCATTGGAAAAGAAAAGATTTAGAGTACGCAAGGGTTGCCATGAAGCTAATTAAGAAGTTACTTACATGTTACGAAAATATTAGAAATTTTATTTCACAATAACTTTTTTACATTTTTACTTTTAATTTGCTTTCTTTCTTCTTTAAGGTGGCGTGGATGCATTTCGAGCAGAGCGCCATATTGACGGTACACAATCATGTGATAACTCGTAATCCTCGTATTAGTGTAACACATGATAAGCATGATAAACATCGTACATGGTTTTTGCACATCAATAATGTCCAAGAGGAGGACCGTGGCCGGTATATGTGCCAAATAAATACTGTTACAGCGAAAACACAATACGGTTTTGTCAAGGTGGTTGGTAAGTTTCGAAAGTAAATGCATATATTTGCTAATATATCAAATAGTCAAAAAAGTATTGATCTGCCAAGAAGGCAATATTCGTATGCAGAACGAAATCGTGGTATAAAGCATTAGTGATTTTACTAAAGATATTTGTAACTCTTACGCGTTATTGAATTTCCACGAAAATGAGTCAAATTTTAAACAGTAGAATAAAAAATTCAAAATAATTTTGAACTAAAGTAATACCTTGCAGATACACCGCTACCTACCGTCATTCGCTGAAATTTTGCAAATATATCTGTTTAGCTTACAGTAAATAACAACTCGATTAATAAACGTCCTTTTTATTCCTATTGTTTCCGGTACTTTTTGTTCACTGCATAAATGTGTATATGTAACATAAATATGCTTACCTAAATATTGGTACATACATATATATGTTTGTAATCATGCTTTTATTTATTTATGATGATAAATGTTTACGATAAACTTTAGCGCTATTGTGATTTTCGAATGCTTTTATGATTTTCTGAAAGATGTCTTACTTATTACAATTTCATGAGAATTTACGGTGATGATACGTTATACGAATGTTAAATAATTTATGTGGATGGGTTTATTGTTCATAGGTGCAATGAATGAATACTTCTTTAAAATTATCGCAATTGAAATGTGTATAAGGGTAGAAACAATAACAGACCAAATTATACGATCATCTGCTAGTTTCTGGAAGAAAAAGATTCTAAATAATGAGCTGTATTAAACATATTGTACATGTCAGGTAATAATCAACGAAATTATTTGCGTAGAGAATGATAGCAAAAAAGCTTAAATTGACAAAACTTCTGCTTCTAATTAGCCATTTTGCATTAAGTTTCGCTTTTATCTCAATATTGCTGACATGGGATAACATAGGGTAACGTAAAAATAAGAAACGTTTTTCATTGTCACAATAGCTGATAAAAGTAACCTTGTCAGATCTGCATGCCTGTTGTAAACAACAAGGTCTACCTGCCTGAAAGTCTCTCATTTGCAATATTTAGAACAGGCTTCTTTTCATAAAAAACCATTAAAATACTCAGACATAAAAGTACTTATTTTTGCATTTGCTACGGGAGGTACTACAATTAATTTGTTCCTTACATCTGAAAATGTCGTAATACTGTTGTTTCAAAATTCGTGGAGCACTGAAGCCACAATTTAAATTTCTCTAAAATTTAATTAATATTTTGCAACGACCGAAAAAATGTTCATTAAAGAGTTCTTTCATTACACTTCAATTATTTATGCTCGTTCATTTGCAGGCAAACCAAAACAGCTGCCACGGCCGCTGATATTATATTGCTTAAGTCCTGAAAAAAGAGATTTTAGTCTTAAGGACGATGTCTGCAATTTGCTTGAAAGAAGATATAGTATGCAAGGCCTACTTACATTCAGGCGAGACCATCACATAACAGAGCTCATAAGAGATGTAGAAATTTCCAGCGTCATACCTGCTTTGATTGATTAAAAGAACTTCAGTTGCACTATTGCTTGGGCATTAGCAGTGGCATCGATATTCCGAAAACTGACGTATTTCTAAGCCTCGTTGTAGTTTTCCGCAATGACGATATCAAGTAATTTCAATGTTGCCGTTTATTAAGGCAACCACCCTTAAGATAGTACAAGGAAAATGAGTTGAAAATGTTTTCTTCTGTAGCAATGACGGCTGACGTGGTTAATAATAAAACCTTGTTCTCGTTATCTAGGCCAAACGTTGATCCGCGGTTGTTCATTGTAACAGATCCCCGTTATTTTGCCCAACAAAGCTCATATTTGTTTTTTTTTCTTATGTACTACAAAGTGACTAAGTCCCCTGTAGAGCGTTTCCTAATAGCGTAAAAAGAGAATAAACAGGAATAAAAAGTGAAATCGTTCTTTTTATTGCAGAAAAGAAACTGAGTAAGTGATTTAGTGTTATGCCCGCAGTTTCTTACCCGTAGACTAGGCTGTGCCAAGTAGACCGCTAAATTTCTTTCCCATGGAAATTTATACTTTTTTATATTGTCGATCACATATTTTTGCGAATTATTTCAAATGTTTAATATTTGTTAATTTATACCATTCTTTCTTATATACATCGCTTTCGATATAATAATAATACTTTTTCATTGAAAAGCTTTTCCCGTCATTTGAAATATAACTAATGGCAATGATAACACTGTTGGTGAGTATACAGACCGTTATATAGGGTAAAGCATGCTAAGAGAATATAAAACAGACTTTTATAATATTTTTTTTTAAAATTTGATATGCATCAATTGTCATTAGATCTTTGGAAAAGTTTTGCGCGTATATTTACTAAAGTCGTCAAGAATGCGAGCTTCCATATAACATAAAAGAAACTAGTTGGTTTCAAGGAGACGTTTACTTTCGAAAAGCACTATACTCTAACAGTATTCACTAAGTTTATTATATATTAACGAATTAAATTCAAATTTAACAAATTTTCTATTACAAAGGCTATTGAAACATCTGTAGGGTAAAGAATATGTTAAGAAAAGGTGTCGCGGAGTTTGTCCTAACAGATGGCTTTAGAATTGTGTAACTTCGGCAATATTAACCTTAGAATTCGAGGTATCGAAGAACGTCGGCGCATTTCACCGTGTAGCTTATGTGCAAATGACGGGAAGTATATGGACAAGTAAACTTTAAACAAAAACCGATTTTGAAATATTATTATATGGGCAATTAGACACTATATGAATTGACAACGACATGGATGGACCGGGCTTCAACGTGGATGTCGCTGGAACGAAAGGAAATCGAGGCATTTTTGGAAAAATTACGTAAGCGTACTTCACTGAAGCTGCACATACGGTGACAAAATTGCTGATCAGTGCAAAATTCTGCATTGATTCTGGTTTATTGACATCTTCTTCTATTTATATATTGCTTATATTTAAGCGGTCGGAAGCGCAAACGAGCAGTTTGCACTTTCAGTCGTTGGCCGTAGACCAAGTTTAAAGATGTGCGTGAGCTAAAACTGATTCGTTCTAACAAGGGGTAGGTAACACGGCATATTAGATTGAAAAAAACCAGATGTTAGTACCCAAAAGGCAAAAAGTTATTACATTTTCAGTAGCCTTTATAAAAACGTAGCTGCAACTACGCCGTATTAAAGCTTGTTGATATTTAAAATAGAAAAAATTTTTAATTTTTCTTGTAATGTATGAAGATTTTTAATATTTAATTACATTTGCACAATAGAATGGTTCGCAACTGTATCTGAATCGTTGTGCTGTATTGTTGAGTTTTCAAACTCCTTTCGTAATGCATATATTTTTGCGTAATAAACGCATTAATAATCTTTAAAACATATTTGAGCACTCGAGTCAAGCCAACTGAAGTCAGTCCGTGAATTTTCTAAGCATAACAAAATCTAGTTTTTCATCTCTGCCTGCAATAAAGCATAAAAAATTTCAAGGAAAATTCAGTGCATTTCAATCATTTCATCTTGGGTTTGATTGTGTATGTGCGCATGTTTTTTGAATGTGTATGTAAAGCGAGTAAGCGAGCGTGTGGTAATGTCATTGTAAAAGGAAATGACAGTATTTGCACTTGTTCCGGTTTTGAAGTTGACATATCAACATCATCCGTTACACATAGCCAAACAAACCCATGGATGCCAAGGCAAAGCACAAAGTAAACGCACATAAATCTCATTTATGACATGTAAAAACTACGAGTGCTATACAAAAATGAGTAAAAAAATCACAGAGAGGCGAAAAAAAGAAAGGATTCTGAACGAAGCGATAGTTATGGGAAAACTTTACGTAAGGGCATAGGAGGAAAATATGTTTTCGTATTGGTAATAGAGTTGACGATTCCACATCAGTGTAAGTGTTTGAGAGTAAGTTTGTTTATTTATATATAAGTGCATACACATATGTCCTCCTAGTAAACACCAACTGGCCAGCCAGGGTATACAATTTGAACATATGTTCTACAAACAGTACGCTATGGTTATATGTATGTGGCTTGCATATGAGCACCTTTACGTATTTACGCGTTTGTGTACGGTATACGTATACAGCAGCAACAGTTAGTAAATGGCATATATTTACCTCATATTGTGGTAAGTAAGGAGAGAAACAACCAACGTCTCTCTTGGACTTTATGCCGCTAGGCTGCAGAGGCTTATATTTGATTTGTTTCGCTTGACTTGTTTTTATTTATTTATATATGTATTTTTTATTAAATCTATTCATACATATATTTGTATATACTTATATGCACATATTATACGTGCTTGTGTGTATACTTTTATATATGTATACTTGTGTTTCATATGCACACAAACACGCGCACACACATATATATATTTTAAGTTGGGGAAAAAGAAATCCATTATTTTTTCGGTAGATGGCTGCACTGATAGATTTCTCGTAAAGTATCGATCAAACAATTTCCGATACTGTACATTTACATACTGTACATTTCGCATTAAAAAATTTCTTTTGCTGTTTTTTGTTTGGTGCATTCAGTTGTGAGTTACAGCGTGTTAAAAATGGAAGTGAACAAAGAGAAAATTCGGTACATTCTACAGTTTTTCTTTGACAAAGGCGAAAATGCAAGCCAGGCGGCTAAAATTGTGAATGGTGTTTATGGTTCCGATACTGTAACAGCCAATTATGTGCAATTTTGGTTTCGTAGATTCTGTTCAGGAATTTTTGATATTAAAGATGCACCTCGCACAGGTAGGCCGGTCGTCGAAAATATCGATAAAATCGGAGAAATGATCGAAGTTGACCGGCATGTTAGCAGTCGTAACATCGCCCAGGAGCTAAAAATCGACCATAAAACAGTTTTAAACCATTTGCACAAAGCTGGATTCAAAAAGAAGCTCGATGTTTGGGTGCCACACCAATTAACAGAAAAAAACATGATGGATCGATTTTCCATCTGCGAAGCCTTGGCCAAACGGAATGAGATAGACCCATTTCTTAAACGGATGGTGACTGGAGATGAGAAATG